CCCTTCTGGCAACATTCCCTCCTCGAGAAAGGAGGAGCGAGCGGCTCTGAGGCGTTCGTTCCGGAGTGCCCCCAATCGAGGCATGTTGGGCGTTGCGTAATGGGGGGGTCATAAATGGGGGGTTGGTGAGGGTGGTCCGAAAAGGTACCCAAACGGTACCTAAACGAGCCCCCTGGGGGTCCAGAGGGGCCCGAAAGCGGCACGAAAGGGGACCTTTTTTGACCCCCCCATTTGTGACCCCCCCATTAAGCCACGCCCAAGCATGTTTCACATTCGACTTGTCGCTTCCAGTCCGCGAGCTGTCCCCGGAAAAAGAGGGTCGCTCAGACAAGAAGGGTATACACCCGCAGGGGGCTACTCGGACGCGGCCCTGTCGAGGATGGGCGCCCCCCATCGTACATCCCAGAGCTGGGCCCAAAATGCTTGGTTCAGCCGGAAGCCCCCCAGAATCGCGGATTGGGGTCGCCCCCCCCCTCCCCTAGCTTTGCGTCCATGGCCTGCCCATCCCAGTTCTCGTCAGCAGAGGCGAGTACGATTCCAAGGCGGGACGACCATGATTATTCCAGCAGCAGGGGGAGATCCTCCCGCAGGTGTGTGCTTAGCACTTGGCCCTTCGCTCCCATGTCGTCCCCATCCTGCCGCCCAGTGGGCTCAGGCATGCTGGGCAGCTGATCGACGCCCGCCATCATTATCAAGGGATCAGTGACATGAACGCTGGCTCTCGGGACCCTTGCCCAAGATAAGCCCAAGGCGGCCCGAAGGCGCTCCCAAAGGCGCCAACAAGGGCCGAGTGGAGCTCCGAAAGGAGCCCCGAGAGGAGCCAAGTTAGGCCCGCGGCGGCCCAGGGCCGGCGGCGAGCGAGGGGGGGGAAGGATCAGGAGAAGGCCTTCTCAGAAGGCGGCGGGACTTCTCAAAAGCCCTCGCGCCTTCTGACAGGTTTTTTTGTGTCTTCGGGGAAGGCTTGGGAAACTTGTTAGAAGGCCGGGAAACTTCCCAGCCTTCTGAAAAGCCCAGCCCTTTTTCACTTCCCCCAGGGCCTGTGCTCAGGGGAGGCTGCAGCACCGCTCAACGATGTGCTGTCAACCAAACCTGCTGGGTGGGCCCTTTCCATGTTTCTGTGCACTTCAGCTTTGGCTTCGGCTTCGGCTGCGGGTGCACCGTGAAGCGTCTTCGGGCCAACTCACCCGAGTCGGATTTTCCGCTCGCACGGGTGCTCCCCTCTCCCATCCCCCCGGGGCGCGCCGCCTACATAGGCGAGCTTTTGGTCGGCCCGAGCGCGAGCACCGCAGCGTGGGGCCTAGACCCCGTCCGGCAGCCGTGGCAACCAGGCTGATATCGGGGCCCGCTTGGAACACGCTGCGGGGCCCGAATTGGGGCCGGGATCGTCCAACAACGGAGCCCGTGCAGTCGGGCCGCGGAATACACAGAGGAGGAAAAGGTACCCATACCGCTACCCTCCCGTCGTTTTTCCCGTGTTGGGCCTCCTGGGCCTCCGTCGTCGCCACCGCTGGATTCTCCTCGGGATCCTGGTCAGAAGGCGCCCCGGCAGAGGTCCAGGGAGTTGCGGTATTGGTATTTGCTGGTTTCCCCAAAGAAGGAACCCTTTTCGTTGGGAAGGGGCTCAGTGTTCCTTAATTGTTTACAGCTTGTCTTAGGTTGTCCTTGGTTTCCTGTGGGAATCGAAGTTTGACCTATTGAAAAAAAGGGGCCTCGTTCCTCACGTAGGGTTCCTTCGGACAGCGTTTTGATTGTAGCGCGGCCAATAGTGTGCCGAAATATGGGTGCAAAGGGATGTCCCAGTTGAGCCCGCAGATCAGCCGCAAGGTGCGCCTGGGCGAGCCCCAGAGGTGCGCAAATATTTCAGTAGATCAAGGAGGTTCTAGCGCGTAAGTGACTTTGGACCCAAGAGGCGTTCTAGGGGGACCCAAAGCCGATTCTCGAAGCCAGGAGGGTCCCCGAATGGGCCGAAATGGAGCAAACGTGCTCTCCGAGATCGCATTGGACGCCGGCTGAAAGCCGTCTTGGGGGCCCGGGGAGGTGTCCAGCGGGCGGCGGGATGTCGGAGGCCGTTTGCGGGGGAAGGGGGGGGGGAAGCCTGGGGGGCGGGCGGACTCGGGAGGACTGCGCCGTGCCGCCAGTGCCTGAAAAAGATGGTGTGCGGCGTCCGATTTCGCATGTGGTGTTTGCCGCGCTCCGTCGTGCTTGCCTGCGAGCAGTTGTTGCCGAACTCCCCATCTCTTCATCTGCGTCCGTCGCGGGGCTTCCCGGGGGCCTCTTGGAGGCCTCGGGGGCGGCCAGCGGGGGAGCCCTCTCGGACTCCCGAGGAGGCGAGGACGCGAGACTCACGAGAACCCAAACACGTACACGTTGTCTCTGTGTGTTGAGGCGCACTTGCGGGTTCTCTTGGGGCGTCTCGGGGGCCTCTTGGGCCGTATTCGGGCCATCTGGGATGTTCTCGAGGCCTCCCTGGCATCTCGGGGGCTACGAGGCTCAGGAGATGCGTCAGCGTGTCCGTGGGGGGGATTCCCCCCCCCCCCCCCCTCAGATGAGACTGTGGACCCTTGGAGAAGCGGGGGGATAGGGGAAGGGGGACCGCCAAACTGCCCACGCGCATTTCTTCCCCCCCGGCAGGCGGGGGGCGGCCGCCCCTTCCTCCTCGGTGTTTCCCTTGCGTTGTCGTCCCTGCTTGTCACCACCCACCAAACCACCCCAACCCAACCCGAAGGCCCAAATTTGTCCTCGATTTCCAGTGGGGGGGGGTCGGGGAACGTTGAAAAAACACATGGTATCCGTACCCCCCCAACCCGAAATTCGGGTCAAATTCGGGTCTTCGGGTTGGGTTGGGGTGGTCTGGTAGGTAGTCAGCTTGTTGTCTCACCTTCGCCGGCGCGTTCGCTGGTGGCGATCTCTTGTGCGGCATTGCCGGCTTGCCTGGCGTTTTCCGCTTCACGTCGGCGTGTCGCTTGCGCGGTACGGTGGTCGTCGTCTTTCAGGAGCAGTCTCTCTTTGCAATTATTCAGGTGGGCTTGGCGAGTGGATCTGTCTGGAGGTGGTAGTGGGAAAAGGAAGGAATTCCTCCTCGTCGCCCTGCTCCTCCTCAATGAGGCCACTTAGCTAAGCTATGGAGAGGACCGTGTCCCGTGACCATTTCATGGGGGCGCTTGTCCTCCTCATCGTCCTCGTCTGGTGGCACGTTGGAAGATGTCGTTGGAGCAATGCGGTCGCGATGGCTCTCCGCTAGGAGTTCGCTCGAATCCCCACTCTGGAGCACTCGGATCGGGACCCAGTAGCCATGTCCCTGTGACCCCCGTCCAACCCCTCCATCCTCCCAACCTCCTTCCAGTTCGTTGTACGCTTTGACAGTCGAACATCTGAGTGTTCAAGCTCCTTCTAAGTATGATTCCCCTGTCTGCCCTTCAAAGAACAGTGGGGAACAACCAAGCGGAGTGTGGAGCGATCCGCGAACTTCTGCAACGCCGTGCGGCTGTGCGACGTGTAGCTGCTGCGCACGGTCGAACGTGCGGACGCTGATTCAAAAGCCAAGAGCCCAGCATTATGTTGGGCACTTCTCACCAGAACCATTGTTTTAGCACGATGACAATACCCACATATATGAAGTGGGTATTGCCATCTTTCCGGCGCAATCGCGTCTCACCATTGCAGACTTGTGGTGCAGACATCATCCCAATGTGTCTCGGCATGCAGTCGGCACGATCCGCCCCCCAGTGTCCGTCGAGCGCGATAACCATGTCTCCTTTCGTCTATCTCTCTCTCTCTCTGCACACCCCTCCTCTGATCTCGTCGTTCGCCTTGCTTTGCGCGAAGCGGTTGACACCCGCTGCCTGCAGTGTCTTCCTGCGCCCTCGCTCTCTACCTTTCAGAAGCCAGGCGAAGACTGGCAAATCCGGTGCTGCTAAAACGGATCTCCGGGAAATTGTTTCTTCTTCCGGGAAGCAGCCCGTTTACTATTTGGTGCGCTGAGTTTTATTCCGGGACTTTGTTTTCGTCTCTTCCGGGAAGACCGTCTTCGCAGCCGCAGATTTGCCAGCCTTCGCCCAGCTTCCGAGCCTTGTGCACGCGCCCTCTTGCCCGCGCGCCTTGTGGTGGCTCTTCGTGGATCCGACGAAGGCATCTATACACCACCACCGTGCCAGGCCAGGGCCATCCTGGGCCCCAGGATGGTGCATAGACCCTCTTGGCCTCGGCCAGGAGAGCGTATACACCATCCTGGGGCCCAGGATGGCCCTGGCCTGGCACGGTGGTGGTGTATAGCTGCCTTCTGCGAAGTGGAGCCGGGCGTGCCTGCGGCTGCCCCTGCGCCCGCGGTGCCCTGCCGTGGCGAAGTGCTGGCCGATGCGCCGCTTCGGCGCGGTCTGCCGGGCCGCGTGCCGCGTGCCGCCCCGTGTCTCTCCCTGCCCCGCTTCGCCCTCCCCAGGAGGAGGAGGAGGAGGAGGAGGAGGAGGAGGAGGAGGAGGAGGAGGAGGAGGAGGGAGGAGGAGGAGGAGGAGGAGGAGGAGGAGGATGAAGGAGGGAGAGGAGGAGGATGGAGGAGGAGGAGGAGAGGAGGAGGAGTAGGAGGAGGAGGAGAGGAGGAGGGAGGAGGAAGGGAGAGGAAGGAAGGGGAAGGAAGAGGATGGAGGCGGAGGAGGAGGAGAGGAGGATGAGAGGAGGAGAGGAGGGGGAAGGAGGAGGAGGAGGAGAAGGAGGAGAGAAGGAGGAGGAGGAGAGAGGGAGGAGGAGGAGGAGAGAGGGAGGAGGAGGAGGAGGAGAGAGGAAGGATGAAGGGGAGGAGGAGGAGGAGCAGGAGGAGGAGGCGGAGGAGGAGGAGGAGGAGGAGGAGGAGGGGGCCTTACCCGCTTGGTCGGCGCCGTCGTCCTCGTGTCGTCTGTCGTTGCGCAAGAGAGGAACAGGTACCCTTTTGTCCTCCCACTTGCTTCTCTCTGCCGCCGGGCTCCGCATCGTTGGTAAAGCAGGGTGCCCTTTCCCTCTGAGCCGCGCAGGCTGTACAGCAAGCAGGGCGTCGAGCTGCTGAGCATGCTGCTCACACTCCCCGAGTGGACAGGACGGTGTCTCGTTGTCGTCTTTGCTGGTTCCTGCTATTCCCCCCCCCTGACACTCCCCCCCTCGCACCTTTTCCATGCGCATGCATCTTCTTAATGTCTGAAAGCGCATCGTGCTGTCTATGCATCATTGCTTCGGGATCTAACATGGGAGGTAGCGCGCTCCTCCTTCTTGTCTGCGATGTGGGCACGCAGCGCATCCCCTTGCTCCTCGTGCCGCTCGGCTAGGCCGGGCCCCTCCTGCTCCTCCACCTCCTTCGCCGCAGATGGCGACGTCGTTGACGAGGCCGCCGTGATGCGGGTGCTGGACGTGCAGGACTGCGGGCGGCGTGGCGCAGTGGAGACCCTGCTTTGTCAGCCTTCTCCCGCTTCCCCGTTCCTGTTCCTCTTCCCCCCTTTTGCCCTCGTCCTTCCCTCACCCATCCCTCCCCTCCCAAACCTTTCCCATTCCCCCTTCCCTTCTCATCCCTCTCTGATCCCAGTTTCCTTCCGCTATCCCACTCGCATCCACTCGCCCATCCCCAACGCTTCCGCATCTCATTCCTTCCGCTGCTCCTGCCTTCCTCAGTGGGAGCAGAGGGGCGGACAGGGGGGGAAGTGAGAGGATGCCGCGTCTTGCGTCTTCCCGGCGGAGGGACGAGGAAGGGAAGAGCTGGCGTCGCGCAAACGGTGGCTGAGGTAGGGCGCGAAGTTTCCAAGGCGGGCGACCCCTCTGAGAAGACCCTGACTTCTTAGAGGGCCCCCCTTATCGGAATGAGTCCATATAGCCTTGACTCACAGTGTCTTCTTGTTCGGATAACCCCCCTGGGCTTGAGATGGAGGGTCGTAACCATTTTGGATCAAGACCCGCAATGCCCATTTCCTTTTACTGGCCATACATCCTATCTCTCCTTCCCCAGTTCATCTACATACTTGTGTGCAGTTTGTTCTTCTACTCTATATTGGAGCATTCGTCAGCATAGCCTCAACGACTGGAAAGCACCATCTGAACACTGGTGATTGTCGCTGCTGTCGCCCAGTGGGCGACAGTGGTAGCGGAGCTGTCAGCAGCTTCGATCTGCGAATCATGAGCGCGGCAACAAAGACAGGCAGTGGTAATCCAGAGGAATTCGAGGCTCAAGGGGCACGCACACCAGAGCAGGAAATCAGGCAGGTATTGGGACGAGCGGGTCTTCGCTTGCCAGAGGAGGTAGCTACCCAAGTCTTTCAGGATATTCTGAGCATCTCCCAGGTCTCCGCAGGCCGCGAGGGCTCCCAGGCGAGCTCCAAGGATGGCTTCAAGGAGTTGCCAGGGGACGCTAAGCTGAACGAGACGAAGCTTGGGGAGGCGCAGTCCAGCGAGCATCCAGGTACTTGGCACACGACGGGTGTATATCGTTTGAAGCAGTCGGCGCCGGCGGGGACAATGTCTGGCGGAGCATTTGCAACACATGCGTCTACATGCAAGCTTTGGCAACGCTCCAATTCGGCACACCCACTTTCAGCCACGAATGAATTCAGAGTGGACGCCATGGTGGAGCACGTCGTGGACCAGCGGCTGGCCCTGCTGGAGTTTGGCCACGCGGGAAAACCAGTACTCATACCCTGCAAATTCCACGGGAATCGGCATCGCTTTGGAACTTTACCGTCGCTGAACAAAGGAGAGCCCGATAGCATCCTGCGCCCAACTACCACGATGACGGCTGGCAGTGGACAGATGTCACAATGACGCTCGACGCGACCGACGAGAAGGGTCGTGATTTTCCGATCCCGGCAAATAGGCCAGATGACCCGACTACAAGATATGGCGCCAGGAAGTCCAACGCTGGCGTATTCTGACGGTTGTCAAGCCTCACATGCACGCTGGCCGTATGTTTCTTTCTTTCGACTGCGACCTCCATCGGAAGTGGGAGACAACCACAGACTCGGTCATGACTAGTGAGGAGGGAGCGGACGCCACCATTGCACGCCTGAGTCTCATTGCAGGCGAACGCCAGGGAGATGATCGCTGGAAGGCTGCTCGAAAGTGTTTGCTGGATTTTCGCCAGTGCGAACGGAGAGAACCCCGCGGAGTACGCGGCCCGCGTCGGCTCGGCCTTCGGTCGGGTTGCAGCACGGGGATTGACGCTGTCGGGCGAGTGGACGCTGATGTCCCTGGAAGAGGGTTTTCTCTGGACGAAACGGGCTCCCATCTTGCCGAAGTCTTCATGAGGGATTCCAGCGCGTACCAGGGAGCCCAGAAGGCAGCGAGGAATACCTACGGATGGGGCGTGACTGGTCGGCCGTCGTCGAGTCCTGTTCAAATGTCCTGTCGGACATCTCCTCGCCTTCGCATTTGCAGCGCGACGAGAAGAACGAGTCGATGTCTAATTTTCTGGACGTCTCCTTTCCCGACTCAGAAGGCGAAGCCGAGGTGTTCGTCACCTTAGAGGCCGCCAGTCCCAACGAGGGCGATGTTCTGGCAGCGCCGGCAGCTATCAACGCAGATCGTCGGAAGACCTGGAGACGAAATCGCGATCGGAAGCGGCAGCTCAAGTGGGCCGACAGCTCTACGACCAGTCCAAGGCCCGCGGTGGCGAGGCTCGCGATCGACAGTTGGTGCCTGCTCGCAGGGCGGCCTGTAGTCGCGTTCGTTCGAGGAGGCAGAGTCTGCCATTGGGGGAGACGCAAGTCGCGCCATCAAAGAGGACGCCGGGGGCGAGAATGCCCCGCCCGAGGACGCAGGAGCGGACGGAAGGAGGGCGCCGTCACCGCCTTCGCCGACCTCGCGCACGCCAGCGTCGTCGATTCTTTTGCAGCCATTTTGCAGACTTCCCCACAGAAAACGGTCGTCTGTCTCACCGTCGACCCCGGGGCCGCGATAGTGGGAGCGGCCGCCGGACAGGAGTCGGTCGGCGAGCCGGCCCTTGGAAGGTTTGCGGAAAACGCGAGGGGGAAAGGAAACTCAGCACCAGTAGTAGCGCCCAGGAATCAGAGCGCCATGGGAGTAGGAGGGGGAGTTCGAATTCTGAGCATTGCCTTGAACTGATTGGGGATCAAGGGTGCGCGCGGGGCGGTCGAGTTGGATGTTCTCGAGGCAGACGTTCCCCATCAGTTGCCAGTATAGGCTGTCGGGATGTGATGGGCAGAGTCGTTCACCTCCTCGTTACTCAGTGCCCTTGATTGCGCTGGGGGTTATGACCCCCATGAATCGACCCCCTCCTGCGGACCGTTCTTCGAGCCAGATCGATTCGTTTTCCGCGCCTGCTGGCTGCTTCAAGGTTCCAGATGGCGCGTTTCGCATGTGCCCGGAGCTTTCGGGGGATGCTGTTCAGTAAAGAGCACGTGCTCGCATCCGTCGGTCGCCGCCGAACCCGTCGCTGGGCTCGCGGCGGGCTCCGCGGGGAACTTCGGGGTTTACTGGGGCTGCCGGTGCGCGTTTCGTGTTTTTTTTTTTTTGGGGGGGGGGGCGAGAGATTCCCGGCGGGGTCTCGGAGGTCCCGTGGCGGAACGAGAGGCCGATGCCAGGTCCGGCCCTCGCCGACCGAGTCGGTCGCCTGCCCGATCAGGCCGATCAGCGAGCAGGCAATGGGTCGGGGCCTGAGTCGCCCATTCGACCAGCGCCCGAGACGCCGCTATGGGAAATTGCCCAGGTGCTCTCGAGAGGTAGAGTTGCGCGGTGCCAGGCGCCAAGGCATGTCTGGGCGATGCAGTGGCCGCGGGCGGCCCCCCTGCCTGCTCCGCTTACGCCCGCGCAGCCATGGGCTGCGCGCGCGATAGTTGATTGCCGGCTGCGAGGACGGCGACCGGGCGGGAGATCGCCGCTGGGAGAAGACTTAGTGGGCGTCATCACTTATTTCTACTAGTCGCCTCGCATCAACCCGCAAACGCGGTTGGATCTCTAGTGCGACTGGTCTTGTTGTCGGCGTGCCATCGCCGCCGATTCCGTCGGGGGTGGTCGGGGCGGGAACTTCGATCAGCTCGCGGGGGGGGGGGGGGGCAGTCTCTGGGAATCTGCCCTGCGATGTTGATAGTGGGTGCTCCGATTGTACCCTCGCACCTGATGCTCCTGGCGCGGGCGAATGTGCTGGCTCGGGCGGTGATGATATAGTCGACGTTGCCGAGCCACTGGGTGAACCCGAGGATGCAGGCGCTGAGATGACACATGTAGAGAGTCTCAGGCAGGACGCAGTCTCCGTCAAACATCACCTCGTTCATCCCCCAAAGAACCCATATGTCACGCGTGCAACGTGGCCGAAGCTCTGCGCTTGCAGCGTAGAAAAAGCCAGAGCAAAAAAGCTACCCAGGCCGTGCTCTTACCTTCCGTGCTTCGGACAGTTTGCCACCGTGTATCATTGGTTTGCGGTCGATGGGCTGATGGGCTCTCGCAGAGGCCCCGCGGGGCAACTGCGCGCGCGACGTTTCGAGAGCGGTGCTCGAATTTAATTGTTGCGCAGGGCGCTCATGGCGAGCTGGCCGCGCGCGTCGGTAGTAGTTGGGCAAAGAAAGCCCCGGGGCCCTGATGGGGGGGCTTAAGATTGTGTTTCGCAGATGGTGCCCGGGGGCTTGCCCTCGCATGCAGGGAGTGCAGGGTTGCGCGTGATGCCGCCGTTCCAGGCAGCGAGAAGTGTGTCGCCGTTGCCGAGAGATCGAACGGCGCTGCTAGCGGCCGCTGGCCCCCCCCCCTTTTGGGCGCGCGCTCTCAGATGCCATTGTCTCCGCCGTCATGTGAGGTGAGGTGAGGGGGGCAAGTCCACTTGGTAAGCCCGTTTTGGTTTGCCGTTTCAGGCGTTCCCCTTGCCCTTCGGTTCTCTCATCCGGCACGTGCCCCCTCCTGAATCTTGATATCGGGTGGCCGAGACAGGTGCCGTCATAGTTCCAGGGATCAACTTGGGGCACGTTCGCAAAGCGGCGCGGCGGCGTGGCGGCGCGGCAGACGCGCACCTCTGGGACCGCTCGAGGGCCAGAATATGGCGAGTAGGTGGGCGCCTGATAACGCCAGGCCAGTGGTCGAGAAATCTGAACAATTATGCGGCACAGTTCTCGACGAGACAGTTGATGTTCGGCTGCCCCCCTTCCCCGGGAAGGGCGCGTGCGAGAGAGCCATCTCCGAGATTGCCTCGGTGACTGGGCCACCCAAAGACGCGGGCGACAGCTCCTCGAGCAAGGCACTTGCGGCCGCGGACAGCTCAGCTGCGCGCGCGCCTGCAGGCGCGGGCGAGTCGCTTGATTGGCCGGCTCCGCCGCCGCCCCCATTTGTCACAGATGGGCGCGGCGAGGCCGCGGCTGATTCCGATCCTGACGCCACCTCTGCTCGCGAGGGCCCAGGGGGCGCGGCGCTGGCTGGGGGTCCTGAGGACGTCGACGGTTCTGACCCCCGACGTGGCGCTCCTCCCAGAGAGCGCAGGGCGGCTAGGATTTCTGTCTCTTGATTACACGTTGGAGCGACAAGCGCATTCTATTGACGGGTGCTACGGTTTTGGCGGTGTTTCCACACCAGGGCAACTGCTTCCTCGCACAGAGCAGAACTGAGACAATATGGACTACTCTGAAGATAAATGCTTCGTTGCCAGATGGCCCAACGAAAGACTATCCCAGAAATTACCATTAACAGGAGACAGGGGGCCAGGCATCTTGCGCGTGGTTCTTTATTGCGGCCCCGCGCGTGAACCTTCGCGCGCGTCCGGGCTAATGGCCCCCCTATTGCGGAGGGCAGCTGTTGCGGGGGATCCCTGGGTTCACGAATCCGGGAATTCATCCTGGCAGGTGGTTGAATATGAGCAAGGGCCCCAACGGTGAACGCGGCCGTGCTACAGAAAAATACAAAGCCGAGAAACTAGAAATCGATGCGCGCGAAGGAGCAAGACCATGTTTGACGCATTTACGCGACATTGGCCTTGTCCTTGGGAGACGCAGGAAGGGCGCCAGCCAGCGGATGCTGGCGAACAACCGCTAGATTTGGGTTTCGATTCCGAATCCGCCGTGGACTCTTAAAAACAGAGATGTTGGCGGCAAACGTGGCGTGGAGGAACGATCCGCAGGGGCGGCGTCGTTACTGCTTTGCTTCAACCAGAGGTGAGCTTTCCCTGGCGAAGTCGTTCCCAGACAGATGGGCTCGCCCGGCCGAGAGCCAGGCGGCCGCCGCGCAACGGCGAAGCGCGCCCAGGATGCCACTCCATGAGCCGTTTTCTTCGATCCAAGCTCGTAGAGCACATGACCGACTTGACCTGCAATAGTACTGCAACCCTTTCACCGATTTAATACAAACGTTTCCCTGAGGGGACCCGCTTGCCGATTCAACTGGCGACGTGGGTCATTCCTCTCGCCACTCAGCCGACGCTGTTGTTGCGCGTTCGGTCGCGAAGTCGGGGGCCGCTGTCAAACCGGAGGCCCGACGCGTGCTGAGTGCTGAGTGGGGTAGGCTCAGACCGGTCGGAACTTTGGGTGATAGCGGCGTTCGAGAGCATAGCGGTGTGGTCAGAAGGCTCGACGGAAAGACTGCGCACTTTGGTTGTCGTTTGGCCATTCTCACAGTGGGGAATTCTGAGTTGCCCAAGGGATACAACGATCCTGAATTTCACGGACGAGTCGTTTCTGATGGGTCTGACGTCAGAGATGAGAACAAAGATGTTGCTCTCTTCCAGGAACTTCTCAGCAGCCCTGCCGCGATGTTCGCGAGCAGAGTGGCTGATGCATGCGGATTGTTTGAGGGTCGTGGAATTCAGCGGGCAGACGCTAAGCAAGCGCATGCACAATTGCAGCTCGGCGGGGCGCCCATTTGGATTTTCCTGCCTCGAGAAGAATTGCTTGAATTCTGGGCGGGGACGAGAGATCCCGTCTGTCCTCTGATCCTGCCATTATACGGCCATCCTAACTCAGGGGAGCATTGGGAACAGCACTGCGAGGGGCACGTTGCTTCCGAGGGTTCCGTTTCATGCAGCCCCTGACGGAGCTGTCATTGCCGTCCTGAAAGGAACATGTTTCGCATTATTTACGTGGCTGATTTCAAAATGCCCGGCCCTTCTCAACGCGCGGAGGCAGGTTGGCGAATGGTGCAAGAACCGCCCCGAGGATGTCCGAAGTGGGATTGGAATCGATCCGCTTTCCAAAGTTGGGCGCCATCTCGATCGCGAGCGTGACATCTACAAAAAACAGTAGATTGGCACGGGGAAGTCCCCGCCATCTTGGGCCCGCCTCCGCCGAGACAAGACGTCCGGAGTTAGCTCGGGGGGGGAACCGAGTGGCGACGAGGGCGAAGCGGGGGGATCGCAGACGGTTGTCCAACATCGCCTTGGCCTTCTAGGCTTGGACAAGCCAAGGAAGCGCAGGCCATTGGAGATGAGGTGACTGGTTTTTGAATCATGCGCTATTCTTCGCGCGCAACCTACTGACGCTGACCCTGCTGCCCACCCCCCAGCAGGCGCGCCTTCCGGACGCGAATTGATTGACCTGGAGGATGGCCAGGGGGGGCCCGGGGGAAAGACGCTGGCCCGCCAGATAAAGAAAACGTGGTCCCCGGGACACCCGCGGGATCAATGGTTGACTCCCCGCGCCCCCTGGAACCGTCGGGGGCGTTGCAACCTATTGCAGATTTTGCATTGAGCCCGAATGGCACGTTGCGACCTGCTGGGGGCAGCTCGTCACGCGGCCTGCTGCGTTTCCATGGTGACACGGCAGCGGGGCGAAGATTTGTTTATGTCTCATTTGCTACAAGTGGAGTGCAGGCCATTATCGCGTGGTTTCGTGGGCGGGGGGTAACATGTCTGAAATGCAGATTCGACAGTACTCTGACGCAGACCTTGCACGTGATGCGCGCGCTCATCGCAGCGCCTGTGCGAGCCGCCGGATCATCTGGGGGCCCTGCGCTCGGGCAAACCAGAGCATGGCTTCTCGAAGGCAAACCTGCGCCACCCATGGTAAGCTGGAGGCCGAGATTGTGGCGGCTGGTTGGGCCTAGCGCACGGAATTAATGGCATGCCCCCATTGCGGGAGTTGCTCTTGCAATGGGCCCCCAAATGCACATTCATAGAGGAAAACAAGGCCGCGCGCAATGTCGCCAGGGCGGGGGGGGCCCCAAAATTGATGCATCTCCCTCGAGCCCGCAGAATTGACGCCGTCGCCGTCTCCGGGCAATTCACCTGCGAGCGCTCTCAGAATGAAGCAGCGGACGCGGGAACGAAACGGTTTGCTGACCTCATGTCTGGGGCCAAGGTCTTGCATGTAGTTTGCCTCGCTACGCCGAAGTTTTGGGGCGCAACTGCGCGCCGAGATTCTACGTCGCTCGCGTTCCAAGGCGGTCTTCGCTGGAAGCCCAGGGGGGTCTCAAGTCGCGCGCTGGCCCTTGGGCAGCAGCGCGGCCCGGAGTTGCAGCGCCGAGCAGGAGAACGAACGTGGCGAAGCGCGCTGGCAGTGGGAAGCTGGTCATAGGACAACTACACATATATTTATATATGTATATACACATACACGCAAACACATATATATATATATACATCTATATTTGTATATATATATACACACGTGGCACGTGTGTGCCCAGGCTCATACAACAAACTGAAGGGGCGTTTGAAGCAGGAGTGACATGCAACAGCGAAGTCGCACTCGAGCGCAAGTGGGGTTGCCACACCTTGCGATGTGTGTACCAGGGTCCCCCAGGAAGCCTCAGGAGGCCCGACTTGGATACCAGAAGAGGCTCCAGGAGGCCCCAGGATTGTGAGTGTTGTGTGTGTGTGTGTGGTGTGTGCTTTGTGTGGTGCGTGCTTTCTGTGTGTTGTCGGTGTTATGTGTGTGTGTATGTTATGTTTGTCTAGCGTGTGATGTGTTGGGCGTGATTTGCGTCTTTGTGTGCGCATGTAGTTCTGAAGCCCCAGGAGGCCCCAGGAGGCCCCAGGCGGCCTCAGCAGGCCCAGGAGAACTCCAGGAGGCTCCGTGGCGGGGTCTGGGGTACCAGAAGGTCCAGAAAGCCCCAGGAGGCCCCAGGAGGTTCCAGGAGGCCCCCAGGAGGCTCCGAGGAGGGGTCTGGGGCTCGATTTTGGGATGGTTTTTCATGCGAAACCGCCATTCTCTGAGAATCGGGGTCAAAATTATTGAAATTACCATGTGTTTTTGAAGGTTTTATGTTAAAATGTTGAAATCCCCATGTGTTTTTGGACCCTGACGTCGCGATCTGCGTGAGGGGTGTCACCGATTTTCAGAATTTCGAGGATGTGAGCGAAACGGCCCTCGCGAAGATATATATATATATATATATATATATATATATATATAAAGAGAGATCGATTCGTCTCCATCCGTCGCTGGCTCAGCCAGCGGCGCCGCGGCTGCGCGCGCCGCATCAATGGCCGCCCCGGGCTCGCCTGGGGGGGGGGGGGCGCGGGGGGGGAAGTTTCGGGAAAGGCGCCGGTAAACAAGTATCGAGAAGGGAGATTTGCTTTCATGCGCGGGAAACGAAAAGGCGCTCAATCATATTGAAGCATTCAATAGCAAACGCATCTCCCGTTTGGCATCCGGGCCTGTCGCGGGGGGGTCTCCGCGGCAGCGCGTGGGCGAGTCTGTTTGCTATCGCGAAGGGGGCCATCGATCTTTGCGGCGTTTGATTGGAATCAGAACCGTGTTTCGACAGCTGTTTTGGAGTTTTCATGAAACCCCGGTCGCTGTTCTTGAAAGGGGAGGCTTTGTTTGTTTGGAGTGGCTTTCCGCGTGTCAATGATGGCGCGACCCCCGAGCGCGCGAACATCTCGCTGCCAGTCAGTCCAGCTGATGCGAGTTGCACGGCTGTGCGCGCAGATCGATGGGCATAGTTGTCAATTTGATGAGCAACCTTTGGGCGATAGCTTCTTCGTCGCATATCGTCGCGGAGGGATTCGTCGGAATTACAGCGTTTCCCATGCGCGCGTGGAGGCTGGAGGGATACGTTGGGGGCTGGCGGAGAATTGCGCGTGTGCTTTTGCTCACCATGTGCGCCGTGTGCGCGCGTCTCGCGACTCTGCTTCCTTCTCTCGCGCATGTCATGTTACTTCCGCCGATGCCGCGTTGGCCCATGGGCGCGCAGTCGCAGCAGCACTCTGCCCGCGCACCTTGCAACCCCCGGGGCGGCCGCGATCGACGCGCGCCCCTTGCAGCGGCGAGCTGCTGCGTGCCTGCGACAGCTCTGCTGTCAAACCCATCGGAAATATTTCCGTGCTCAGCAAGCGCGCGAGGTCTGCCTTTGCGGTGCCTGTTCAACAGGCTGGGCCAGATTGAATCGGCCCGGGTCAATCGAAAGGTCGGGGGGGTCTCGGCGCAGCTGGTTCAACGGGATGGGTCCGCGAACGAACCTCCGAATTACAAGAAGAGGGAGATGGTGGAAGCGCCGGCTCGCGCTGGCGGCTCAGCTGGCGGCGCCCCCGGCAGCGCGAGCGATTCGAGAGATGTTGAGGAGTTGGCCGCCAACCGGGCACATTGAACGCCTCGCGGCGCGGAGCCTCCGGAGCTCAATGGGCGCGAAGGGGGGGGAGGGGCGGGGTGCATGTGCAGGAGGTTCATGCGCGTCGGATTGAGGAACCATGAAGGTCAATTCTCGCGCGCGTGCCATTGCGGCGCCCCTGCCAGCGCCGTCGACGCAGGGGGCGCGGCGCCCCTTCCCGTCGCAGCTGGCCCATCCGATGGCGCTGGCCAATGCGCCGGCGCAGGTGGCGACGCAGAAGGGCGCGATCCACGTGATCGACCGCAACGACCCGCAGGCGGCGGAAAACCTGCAGGCGGGAAGGGCCCCCCCCCCCCCGCCTAGGGCGGCAGAGTTGATCGCTAGGGCCCCGTTCACTGGCACTGGGCCCGATCCCAAGTGTATTTCTCGCGCCCCATGGAACGCCACGCAGCAATGAAGACCGTGGATGTATACCGAGGAGAGGGGGACGTGGCCAACGTATCTCTCAAGCCCTCGACAGTGAACAGAGTACTCTTGCGGGCGACTTCCTCGCGTTGCACGCTACGTCGACGCATCCGTCGCTTGCTCAATGGGTTCCAGCTCTGTTGTTGGCCAAGGAATTCCAAGCCATCAGTGCGACGGGCGATGTGAACGCGCATGGATGAGCACCATTCGGTGGAGAGGGCATCTTTGCGATGGCTTCCTGGGGAAGACCGCCAAATTAGTTCTTCCGGTCCGTGCAACAGAAGTTGTATAGACGAACGATGGCAATGCGTGCCGTCACTGGAACATGGTTTCCACCATGAACGAGAAGTCCACGATTTTGCTTCACAAAATGAAGACCGGTAATTCTCAGTCGAGAACCCAAAGTAAGGTAAGTGACCCCTTTGGGGAGATGACGCACGGTGCACGGTTGTCTTCAAAAATCCACAGCTGCATCGGCTGCCATCGGAATTCGTGGACAGCTTGTGAACACAGATTGGCTTGAAAAGAACGTTTCCGAACTCTGTGACAAGCAAGGTGATTATCGTTTTGTTAATGTATTTTGGAACATGAACGACGTGTCTGGTGGCAATGCTGGGATGCTGTAAAGCGTCGCCAAGGGCAGTTCGGAATTGCTCACCACATTGGCGACCATTGTCTAGTCGGAGGCGATTGCGCTCGCAGAAAACATCGTCCCACGCATTCCCAGTAACGTCACGCACGTCTTCCATGCCGAAAGAGATAACAGAAGCCGGATTTCGCAAAACGCAAATCTTGATCCTGGGAAGATGTTGGACGACATGGCGACACTGATCCGAGCTGAGATGAACAAGCGCATCGAATAGTACAGGATTGCGAACCTCTATCCACAAATGGTTGTTTTTGACGGAAGTGCAGTGTTCCGATCGCTGAAGCATCCTCCGAACGATAATTACCACTTTCTGGAGGCCGACCTATCGTACATCAGTTAAGGAAACAAAGTACGTAGTGGAAGCAAATGACACGCTCGCAGAGGACATCAGCAGAACCAGAAGGCTGACGGCATCGTTCTATGGTCGGCCCCTCGGTGGCTCAGCCATCGGGGACGGGCGACCCGACCCGAAGAAACGTGTCCTTCCCCGTTTCATGTACATTACTGCCTGTATTGTATGTGTGTGTGTGTTTGTGTATGTTTGTGTGTGTGTGCGCTTGCGCTGTGTAATGGATCGTTCGTCAGCAGAGCCTCAACGAGGGTAACACACCGCCTGGACGCTGATGATTGCCCCTGCTGGCGCCTCCTTCGACACCCTCTCACCCTGGCTCCCTGCGCGCTTCGAAAACACGTCAGGTGAGGAGCATGGGGCGGGAGTGAAGCAGTGGCGAAGCATCCTGGTTCGCCTATAGCCCTGCCAAGCAATGTTCTAAGAACCTTGTATGGTTCCCACAAAATGTTCATAGAACATTTCTGGCGGAGTCCGTCTTGTTTTTAACACCTCGGGTTTGTGTTCTAAGAACATCGTTTTGTTTTCTAGAACACTGATCCAATAACGTGTCGTGGTAGGACTATAGGAATGCCGCGACGGTCGGTCCCTGCTCAAGGGAGCGAGCAGGGCAACGCCTGCCGGCGCTGCCTGTGAGGCAACCTCGGTGGCGCGCCCCGGGGGGGGGGGCAGGCTGAGGGCGCGGGCCTCCTCGGGTGGCTGAGAGGGCCTCCGGCCTTCCGGGAAGCTTCCCGGGCCTGTTCGGGAGCCGCGGAGATTTTTTCTCTCAGCGCGCCGGCGGCCGACAACCGCCGTGTGCGTGTATTGCCTTGCCTTTGAGGACCGAAGGACTGACATTGTTATCTCTTCCGCCGCGGAAGGCGGCGGAATGGCGGCGGAAGTAAAACGAGGCCGCCTCCGCCGGCGGAAGCCGGCGGAAGGGCGGGGGACAGTTGCGGAAGTAAAAATGCACCCCCAAGAGATGAACACTTTTTTGGTATCAGGGTTTCCGGAATTTGCCATGTAGCGGGATGCAAGCAGGGGCGACGAGGGACTGGGTAAGACCGCTGGAGCGTGAGGCTGGGCACCAGTCGCGCTGGAAAGGGACGTCCACATCAGCCGAGACCTTCCCAGAAACCCGACGTCGTGGCGGAAGCAAAACGTTGTGTAAATATGTTCGTAGTTTCTTTCTCGACGCATGGAGATCTGGCTTTCGACCGTTCGGGACGATTCGGGCACCTTCGGAACGCTCTCAGCGATGTGCTTCTGCTGGAAAGCATACCGAGGCTGGAAAGCCGTCGGCGGAAATCACGAGAACGTCTGAACTCCCAGAACCGCGAATTTCGAAGAGGTCAGGGGAGGAGGGTTGTTTCTTTACGACGCGAGGATTTTGACACGGCCGAGGAGGAGGGGTTTTCGGCGACTACAGGGTTGGGGTTACGCCAGGGTGTGGTTTGTGATCGGCGCCGTTGGTGCTTTGGGGGTCTCCACGTTGTGCCAAAGGTTTGACGAGCCCTCGTCGGGGCGCTGCAGAGATCTCTGTCGATGTCCCCGCCCGCATCCCCAGGGTGTGGGCTGCAAGCCACACCCTCTGCAAGCCACGCACACCCTGGGAGTCGCAGCTTGGAGGGACGACTGGAGCTGTCGGGCCCCCCCTCCCCCGGAAGGACCAGCCCCCGGCACCGCAGCCTCCGGCGCCGCAGCCCGCCGCGGCGAGAGCGCCATCCCCCCCGGAGAAGTCTCCGCTGGACGCAGGCCCGCAGGGGAAGCTGCCAGCACCGGGCAGCGAAGAGACGCATCCAAAGGCCTTACGTAGCTGCCCTGGTGCGCTCGTTTTGAGCCCGCCGTGTTCAAGGTGTCCGTGTTGGCACGCGCGTGTTGGCTCGGCACGTGCTGGCCCGCGTTTTGGTGAGCGTGTCGCGCCAGACTTCCGTTTTCCACATGCGTGTTGAGCTCCGTGGCAAGACGCTGCGGGTTGCGTGCTGCGTATCGGGGCGGCCAAGTCCAGGGCCCGTGCACAGGCGTGGCGACATATTAGAACCTTCAGAGCTCGACAGTCGTGGATGCGGCACGGGTCTTCGCACACGCACTAGCTAATGGCATTGAGCCCATCCCGCCATCGTGCCTGGATTGCGGGTCAGAGTCCTCAGGGATGCTTCTCGAGGTCTCTTTGGAGCGCCCTCGGGGGCATCTCGGAGACATTTGTGGGGCCTCCTGGGAGCCTCTTGGGGGCATCTTGCGAGCCTCTTGAGGGGCCTGCTGGGGCCTCCTGGGGCCCTCTTGGGGGGCCGCCTGGGGCCTCTCTGGAGCCTCGTGGGGGCCTCTTGGGGCATGCCGAGGGTCGTTGGAGCCCCGAGGGCTCGAAACGTCCGTTCGGGTCCCCCCCGTCTGGGCCCCCTCTCGGGTCTGTCTTGGGGGCCCCTTCGGCCGTCTTGGAGGCCTCCTGGGCCGTCTTGGGGTCCTCTGGGGCTGTTTTGGGGCCGGCCCTCTTGGAGGCCTCTTGGGCCATCGTAGGGCGATCTTGCCTCCTTAGCCGTCTCGGAGCGTCGGGAGCCCGAGAAGGCGAGAAAGCCAACATCTCTCAAACACCGACGGAGCATCAACGTGTTGTGCCCCTGGGGGGCCCTCCTGGGAGGCCTCTTGGAGGCCCCTGGGGGGCGTCCTGCGACCGTCCTGGGCGTCTCGGAGCGATGCTGCGGCGACTCGGCGCCCCCTCAGAGCGCCTTCGGGGCTTGTTGGGGCCCTCCTGGCCCGTTTGGGGGCCTCCTCGGGCCCGAAGACGCCACGCGGCAGGCCGCGACGCGCCCCGTGGGGGCACCGCGGGGAGCCCCCCGGGGCCACGCGGCGCGCCCGGGGAGTTGCTTGTGCGAGTCGGGGCCCGGGCCCCTTTGAGAATCTTCAAGGGCTCCCAGGAGGGCGCGAAGTTATTCGCGCTTCGCGCTTCGCGGTCCTCGTTCCTCCTCCCCCTCCTCCTCGTCCTCCTATTCTCCCTTTGGGAGGGCGGCGCGAGAGCGCGAAGTTATTCGCGCTTCGCGCTTCGCGCAGCGCGAAGCGCGAAGTTGGGAGCCCTAGATCTTCGGGATCGAGGGCTGAGGCTCGGGGGGAGTGGGCCAAGGACCAGAGGGAACTCGAACTCGTGCCTCAAGGGCACGGTCGCGGATCTCCATACCCGAGTGCCGATCGACGAGTTCGAGAGCCCGACCGGCACGGCCTGCTCCGAAGACAACGCAACGTGCGGAAGAGCCCACGACCAACAGCCCCCCCTCCCTACCACAACACCCTCGAGGTTTTTGCGCGTTTTTGCTGGTTCCTGGCGGCTTTCCAGCCTCGGGGTGCTTTCCACCAGAAGCGCCTCGCCGACGAGGGCGTTCCAGTGGTGCTCGAACCGTCCCGAACGGCCGCCGCCGGAGATGTGATAACCAAGCAGATGTTTTCTGCAGATTTCGGCTTCGGGGTGCCTCACCAGACCCCCAGACCGTGAAAAACTATTCAGGATGAAAAGCTGGGTCAGCCCTCCTATCTCCATTTCTCCTCCCTCGCCCCTCCTCTCTCGACATCGATTCTAGCCAGCCGGTCCAATTCGACTCCTATATTCCGACGATCCGATGTGGCCAGATGCTTGCATGTCACTGTTGTGCATCCTGTTGCGGACGATCCCATTCGATTTCGATTCCGTGCCGATGCAGTCCGATCCGATGCGCATTCCGATTCGATCTGATTTCCTGATTCGATGTTGACTGATCCTATTCTCTGACCTCCCTCCTCCTCACGCTTATCCCCCTCCTTCTGTTTTCCTTCCTTGGGAAGAAGAACAGCTGCATAAGCATGGACATTCGAAGGTCTTTGCGGATTTCTTGGATCGGCGCTGGCTGGGCCCTCCCTCCCATAGGCCTCCCTCCGCCCGCTGCCAGGCCTCCATCAGCTACCAGTGGCACCGCCGAGGCTGGGGGATGATGCGGAGGGGAGGGGGGAGTCTGCCAGGCTGGAAAGAGATGCCAGGATAGGCATAGAAGCAGGCTGAGGAGAGGGAGGAGGAGGAGGACGAGGAGGAGCAGGAGGAGCAGGAGGAGGAGGTGGAGGAGATGGAGGAGGTGAAGGATGAGGAGGTGGACAAGGAGGAGGAGGAGGAGGAGGAGAAGGAGGAGCAGGAGAAGCAGGAGAGGCGGGATTAGAGAATGAGGGATCAGGAGGGGTAGGAGGGGGGAGGGATCAGGAAATGCTGAGGGCTGAAGAGAAAGCGGAGGAGAAGAAGGAGGAGGAGGAGATCGCGCAGGAGAAGGAGGAGGATAAGAGGAGTCGGCGCAACTCTTCCCGCAGTTTTCGCATTACGCAGGGAACGAGAGGGCACGGGTCACGACCGACATTCTTGTCAGTGATCCTTTGTCTGGTCGCCTGCAGAAGGCTAAGGTCCGCGTTCTTCGTTGTCCTCGGGTTTTCCCCAGGCTGCTGCCAGTAGGACCCCGTCCCCATCCGCATGCTTGGGACGATCTTGTGGCTCGCACCGAACCCCTTGGCGGGCAGCACGAACTTGGATAACATGCTCTTCGCACCTTTCCAGCGGATGGAGTGTAATTCTATCCTGGCTCGTGCCACAGACCCCAGACGCTCTGAAGTCCACTGGTCGAGGTGTGCCCCCCCCCAGCTCGTCTGGGTTCCGGCCTTTCGAACTGGTGGAAGGGCCTATCTTGCGGGCTTGGTGGAGTTTGAGTCTCAAGGGTGGAGGAAGGTTTCCAGCTGCGTCTAGATCGATGCTGCATGTCTCACGAACGTTTTATTCGGTTGGTTATGCACTGTGGCGTCTCTTGGATACGCTGTGACGTGTTATTCCTAATCTTAGTCGATACTATTGCCCTCAGCGGCGGGGCGAGCTTCCGAGCTCGGACGTCTTCTCTTTTCCTGTCTGTCCAGGGGTGGCACGCTCTATTATCAGTTCCTGTGCTTTCCTGTGGCCGGCTACTTTCCCAGAGATAGGCTGTGCGCTTGGTGGGTTGTAGATCGGGGCTGCATTCACCTTTGCAAGTCAGGTTTGGGCGCCAGGAGAAGCTACAGAGCCTCCGTGTTCTGGTGTGCGGTTGGTGGTCATTTGGCTCATAGTCGGGTCTCGAAGGCAAGTATCTACTTGGCAGGGCGATAGATCTGACGTCAGCGTGGCGTTGATGTCTCTAGCGTTGTGAGTGTTGTACTTCCCGGCTGGCTAGGCTTCACAGTGTATCTGCGTGAGCGTTGACTTTTGTACAGCTGAGCCCTACAATGCACGTCTCACTGCTATGTTTTAGGGCCGTCGCTTTGATGAAGGAATGTTTGTGCATGTTGTTGTTGCGCGCAGGCGCCCGTTACGTTATGTGTGCATGTGCAAGTCTGCTAGTTCTGCATTCACCTTGCAGCAGCGCGCTTGCAAGCTAGCACGCCGCTCATATGTATGTCTCACATCAGTAGGCCCCATGGTAGCATGTTATTGCCATTTGGCATGCGGCTCGGCTATCCAGCACATGGTCCAAACGGAGCTGCATCTATTCTGACATGCAACGCAATGTCCTATGATCATTTCGTCCACGTCCTTGCCGGGACGGGAAAGTCTGGGGCAACATCCACAGTTCAGCGCTCAAGGGGATATGTGATGATCGGTGCGCGCAGGGACTGCAGGCCTTCAGGCGCACACGCCAGTGGGGAGGACGAGGATGGACTGCAAGATGATGAGTGAACGTGGCGCAGGGGCGGTTGAGTGCGGGGACTCGAACTCTAGGTTGGCCTCGCGCACGTCTGGGGAGGGGCGCGAAGTCCAGGCAGAAAGGAAAAAGGCAACCGCCGCCGACGACGACAACAACGCAGACGAACGACGACGGCGAAACGCCCAACGACGACAAACGATCCGGGAAAACGGGAGCGCTGGTCAGGGCGAGGGAGCGCGGGCCCAGGCTGGGGTCTGGGTACCCAGACCTCCGACGTCGTGATTTTTGTCACGACGTCGACCCCCAGAGGTCTGGACCTCTTCCCCGGGACCAGTTTTTCATCCTGCGTCGTTTTTTGACGTTTCTGAAGCCCAGGAGGGACCCCTCGGAGGCCAAAAATGGAGGACAACTTCCCGTCGTGAGTTTTTCACAACGCGTGGGCCAGGGCTCCTCCCCTTCCCCGCGGCGGCGCCGCGCCGCAGGCAGCCGGCAGCCGGGGACGGCGCCCAGCAGCCGCGGGATCGCCGGACAGGAACCTGCCCTGCGTCGCTTCTTTGTCCTCCACCATCAGCGCCCTCGGCTGTTCCAGGCTGGGGTTAAGTCGGGCCTGTCCCTCTACAGGGGGAACATTCAAAAATCGTTAAAGCATAGTTCGGGGACGATTTTTTGAATATTTGTTTGACCATTTTGGGGCATTTTTGGGGTATTTATCATTTTTCGTCCAAGATCCCCCTGTAGGAGGACAGGCCCGACTTAAGGCTGGGGCCCCGAGGGACCGGGGCCCGAGCGGCGAGAGGGGACCCAAAGCTGTGTGTGGTCCACTCTGGGTTGCTTGATACGCGTGGGAGGGTCCCCCCCCGACGGGGGTCAACCTCGCCTCGTCGTCGTGCCGCGGCGGGGGTCGGAGCGCATTCGGCGCGCGGTGGCTGCCCGCGACGGGGGTCGATGTGGGGCTGTCGGCGGGGGCGCCCCCCCGACGCTTATTGAGAAACCCGAAGTACCTGGGGACCCTTTTCCGTCCTTCGGGCCCCGTCTATGACATGAGGGCCTCATCTTTGAACCGCCGTTTCCCTCAGGACCGAGGCCCTTCTTACGGTCCTTCGGCTAACGTGGACCACCGTGGGAGGGGTGCCACCGCACCTCCATCTCAGTACAACCTTGACGCCTATCCTGACAGCATCAATTGCCACTAAGTAGGTTTTCCCTGCTGTCTCCGTAGCCATGTTGGTTCAAAAACTCAAACCTGCGTCCTGGGATTTGAGCCGAGGTCGTAGCGGGCGGGGTGGCTCAGGCTTTGGGACATGGCCTGCCATCTTCGGCCAGTTTCGGGTGCTGTCGGCCCACTGTGCACCTCTTTTTGTGTGTCCTGCACCTGCTCCATGGGAGAGGCTGCGCCCGCCTGCTTCACGGCCCTCGTGGAGGGTGTATTCGCGGGACTCGCGGAGCGTCGAGGAGGTTGACACGTCGCCTACCATCCAGGTGGATGCGATCAACGGCAGAATGGCGGCGCTGGAGGTGAAGTTCGAAGAGCTCCACGCCAAGCAGGCTGAATCTAAGAAGTATATCCACACGAGGTCGTCCTCGGTGGCCTCTATTACCATTGGCTTCAAACGACAGCGGACGGCGGGTGGCGCTACCACGGATGCTGACGCAACTGATTCCTACCGCATCCGGAACTTTAAGATGCCACCGGGCGGCGCTTAAGTTAATTCGCCGCCAGACTTGGGAGCATCTACAGCCGAAGCGTCCCGCTCATCTTCTGGTGGGCACTACTGCCAAGCTTGCGAAGACCAGCCAGAGCTGCTCCGTCCAGTTCGCCTCGTCCAAGCTTGCCACGGAGTTCATGAACTGGTTCGTCGGTCAGAGTTTGAAGTGGGTCGATGCTCGCGACTCTACGCCTAACGTGAACGTGCATCGCAGTCGCACTGATATGTCGGATGGCCTGTGCCACCGCCAGCGCTACATGTCCAAGATGTGGGCTTCTGTGGTCCAGCACCTTCATCGCATCAGCATGTTCGTGTCGACGCTCAAGATTTGCGCGAATGGTTTCCGCCACGATTTCTTCATTCGCATTGAGTCCGATCACTTGGTGCTGACCATGGGGGGAGACTGTTTCGTTCGTGCGTCTCCAGCTTAAGCCGAACGAGGATAACCCGCGCTACTTGGAGATCACCGTGGAGCTCATGCACAAGTGTACCGGCGCTTGCCGTGAGTGACAAGTGACGCGGCCAGCTTCATCATCGCCGAGCCGCGCGGATTCGCGGCCAGCGTCATCTGCTGCGCATCTATGGCGCGATCTTCTGCGGCTTCTGGGGAACAGGCCATTCCATAGTGTGCCAGTGCGAATTCGTCTTCTTCAAGTACTTCGCAGTTTTATTCAAGCTCGTCCTCTGCTTCCTTGTGGTCTGAGCAGGGCGTCTGTTCAGCCGCCGCTGTTTCCGCGCCGCCTGCCAGCGGCCTGCCTCTGTCTTGGCCCAGCGGCCAGCCTGCAGTGCGCCGGCGGCCTTTTTTCCAGCGCGCGTGGAACGCTCGTGGTCCATTTGCTGCGTATCGGCCACGTCGCCAAGCGGGTGCTACCCTGAGGTGTCGCAACTACTGGAGGATGTGTCGCAAGTTTCAGGTCGTCTGTGCTCGGGGAACCCGCAGGGCCGTCGCTCACTCGGCCGCGCTTCAAAACGGGCTTCGTGGCTGTGCGTGGGGCACCATGTTCTCCGACTGCGCGCGCTGGCGGGCTCGTCGCTTGCTCCAGAGCTTGTCTGGCAATTTCCGTCTGCCGCGCGCCGTGCCGTTCAGGGGGAGTGGGTGATCTCCAGCGTTCTGACTGGGGAGAAGGGGGGCCTTGCCATCATGCGCCTGCATGTGCCGAGCGCCGTGCGAGAAGCTGCATATCTACTCTGACTCTCTAGATGAGATGCCCCTAACTGAGCAACGTTGCTCGATTGTTTACGGGGGCTGGAAATTCACCCTGGAAGAGGGGTGCGTGCGTGTCCTGATGGGGGTGCTCGGTCGAATGGGAATTTTCCCTTTCGTGAAATATGCGGCCAGATCTGCGACAGCTGCATTGAGTTCCCTCAAACAGATGACATTCGACGGTGGCTAGGAGATGGGGGCGTCGCGCCCGCCTGAGGCTCGATCGCGTCTACTCGTCGCTGCCTGTTGCTGCTATTGCTGATCTCGCGCTTCAAACCCTTTTCATCGGGCAGATCTGTCGCGCGAGAGTCTCATGTCACATCGCAGCGCTTGCGGAGATAAGCTCTGTCCGTCCGCCGTCGGGAGACAACGTCATCATCCCGAGCTGGCTTTGCAAGATCGAGATTTTCGAGGAGGCTTTGGGCCGTGGCCTCAGAGCTCGCGCTGCCGAGCATGGCGCGCTAGTCGCTGCTGCTGTCATCCAGAAGGCCACAGCTATCGCGCATCTAATCTTTCCCCGTGTCCGTCGCCGTCGTCTTGCTAATCGGATTGCGGAGGGGCCGCCGGGGCAGCGTTGCTGGCGCATGGCCGCCCATCGTGGTTTAAGAGCTTGGCAGGGCCATCCTGTTTGCAGCTACCCGCCGCTGCAGCGGACCTTTTTGACTTCGACGCGATGGCGTGCGCCGACCTCCCAGGCGCCTGCGGGCGCGCCCAGAGTTTGCGCGCCCAGCTACTCAATGGCCAGGCGGAGCAAGGGAATGGCAACGGGAATTTCATGGGCCATGCTAAGAAGACTGCCCTGGTCCAGCGTCGTCGCTGGGAGGAATTGCGGGGGGGGATTCGAGTGCCGCGCTCACCTCGCTGCCGCGCTGCATGAACAGAGGGGGCCCTGTGCGCCGACCGCCGGGCCCGCCGGCGAGTTCGGGGGGGGCGTCTTCGGGGGGCCCTGGGGGCCGGTCGAGGTCGCGCAAAGTCTTCGCCCATGTTGGAGCTGATCGTGGCGGCGGAGGTGATCCTGGCACCCCCTGGGGAGCTGGTTATCATAATTCTGGCAGGCTGAACGAAACTTGCCGCTACTTCCTGCGCGGGCCCGACGACTCCCGCGCGTGGGCTGGCGCGTTGGAAACGCGCCGCGCAGCCCGTGCACTTCGTTCCGTGAGATTGCCGATGGTGGTGCTCAGTCGCCGCGCGCTGATATCGGGGGGCTTTCACTGGTCTTCTCGCCGAAAGGGGGGCGGGGCGGGAACGGGGCAGGGTGCGCGATTCGCGATTGCTCGAGCGCGCGCCCGCTCCCGGTGTCCAACGCTGATGCCGCCGCTCTGCCTAGTGTTAGCGCGCCGCTTAACGCGCTCTTTAGGTCGGCTGTGGCCCCGCCGCAGAAGCGCGCGCGGGGCAGACAGGCGCTCGCGAATGTTGCGTGAGCAGAGCTATGAGGCCTCCAGCAGCATCCCCTGTGCCGCCCTCTCCGCCAACTTGGCTGGCCCCCCCCTCGCCCCTCCGCGCCTGGCTGATCGCGGTGCTTGCTGCTGTGCAGGCGCAGCCCCATATTCGGAATTTGCGCCGGATGCCTTATTCCCATGGCCGCGGAGTGGTGGCGCCCGGCAGTCAGAAGTTCCAAGGTTTCGCGCGCTGCGGGGGCGCGCGGCAAAGGGGCCCCAGCTCCATGGCGTGATGTTGTTTTTGTCTAGGTCCTGTTATTCGTTGGGTTCAGCATTCTCCCCCAGCTCGCGCGTCGCCGCGTCTTGCGGGGGTTGGCGGCTGCCTCTTCTGAAGGGTCAATGCGCGCCGCGAGCCGCCTGCTATTCGGCGCGCCCTGCCCGCGCTCGACGGGGCGATGGGCCGGGCCTTAAATTTTAGCAAGTGCGCCTTTCTATTGCTCGGGGGGCCGACAGGAGGCGGCGCGGGGGGAATTGCCGGAGCAGCTGAGCCATTGGAAAAGGGGGGGTGAAACTAGCGGGGATCTTCAACGCATTGAAGCATCTTGGCCCGGGAGTCGGCCCTGGAGCCACTGGAGCGGCCTGGACAGGCCCGCCTGCGAAAGTCATTGCCCGCTGTGCCCAGCACCGCCGATTTTACCCGGCTACGCCATCGTTGTTGCCTCCTTTTCGAATTATATGTATGTTTGTCCTGCATGTTGCGGCGCAGGTAGGCCCTCGCGCGCCGCTTGTCAAGGATCTGCATGGGCGCGCGTTGCAGCGCTTGACGCGCGGTCCGCACCGCGCGTTCGCATGCCGCATGCCTGCGCCCGTGGGGAAGCTCGGGATCTCGATTTAGACGCCTGAGATCTCTGCCTTTTTATCGCTTGCCGCGTACGCCAGGCCTACGAAGGTCCTGGCCATGGCGATTATGGGGCTGAGCTCCAGAATTCGCTGGATAGTGGAGCAGTATGTTATGCTTGCGTTGCAGGTGCGAAGGCTTGGCATCAGCAGTCGTTCTTGCATGACATGTTCCAGTCCATTCTTGTCGTCCACGGGGTTGTTCCTCTCTCGGCGTTGAAGCCTGAGCCTCTCCAGCGAAAGCGTTGCGCCTGCCTCCGCGTTGTGCCTCTGCCTTGGCATTCGCCCTTCGAGGGCCTCATGTATCGGCTGAAAAAGTGGTTGCGCGAAGTTGACTGTTCTAGCT